TGGCACATGTGTATTTCATTGCTTTGCAAACTGGTTACATTTTTTTTTATCCTAAAGTGGTTTTAAAGGCAATAGATGCATACAGTGCGGCTCGGGATTAAGCCTGCATGAGTTCTTCCATAACAAGCGTCTTATTTTTTTTCTGCTGCTTAAATTGGTTTGAATTGTATTCAGTAAAGCTGTTATACCCAGTATATAACTCAAACTGGAGTGGATAGTCTCTGCCTATAGAGAATATATAGATGTGAGGATTTTTATCCCAAGTGAATAGGCAAGGCAGCACATCAGAACAATACGTAGAAATATACAGGGGTTAGACAAAAAAATGAAAACACTACATGATTTGCAGGTGTGAAAGTGACAACATGTTTCCTGTTGAAAGCGGAAGTGATGTAACGTTCTTTTGCTTCCCATGTCATGAGACACCCAGCTAATAGTTGGGAAGTCTCACTTTCATCACTTTCAGCTGCTAGTAATATGGAGTCATGCCAGAGCTTACTGAGCTTCAAAGGGGGCAAATTGTTGATGCCTGCATTAGCTAGTGCCTCTGTGACTGAAGTTTCCAATTTATTTTCCATGTCACAAGGTACAGTATAAATAGTTACAATGGCATTATATGGTTTCTGGGAGAACGTTGTCTGATAAGCATAAGCAAGGACGACATGGTCAACTGACCAAAAGAGACAAAAGGACATTACGCAGGATTGTGATTGGGAATAAGAAAACGACTGCTGTAAAAGTGAGCACAGAGCTCAATCTCAGTCTTCACGGGACTGAGATTAAGAGCTGCAGTCCCTTTTGCAGCAGTTGTTTTCTTTTTCTGGGTCACAATCTTGCACAATTTCTTTATGTCTCTTTTTGCCAGTTGACCATGTTGACCGTGCTTATGCTTATCAGACTATGTTTTTCCCGAAAATGTATATGCCGTCAAAACCTTAATACTGTACCTCGCGATGCGTCAAACAAAGTGGCAACTTCAATCACAGAGGCACCAGCAATTTGCCCTCCTTGAAGCTCAGTAAGCTGTGACATGACTCCGTATTACTAGCAGCGCTTGCAGGGAATGATGAAAATTGAGACTTCCCATCTGTTAGCTAGGTGTCTCATCACACAGCGGAAGCAAAAGAACGTTACATCACTTTCGCTTTCAACATGAAACATGTCACTTTCACACCTGCAAATCATGTACTGTTTCCATATTTTGTCTAACCTCTGTGCATTAAAATAGCAACAAAAATGCAACAAACTAACAGTCATTTGGCAAGGGATTCACACTCAAATTTAAAGTTGTATTCAAGCCTTACTATGGGGGCACTCAGAACGCAGGAGGAGCTAGGAGTGCCAGGGAACGGGGGCAAAAGAGGAGCATCAGGGCTGCTCTGTGCAAAACCATTGCACAGAGCATTTAAGAATAACATGTTTATTATTGAAAACAAAAAAAAACCCTTTACAATCACTTTAATCTTTATTCATTTAAAATTAATATGATAGCTGCATTCAATAATACAATTTAAAGGAGCAGAAGTCACAAAAGCAGGCCTATCTGACTGTTTAATGCACAAAAAAACAAGGCCCACACCTGGGTGCATCGAACATAAGTAAGCAATAAACTTGGGCCCACAATACAAGTGCACCACAGTAATTTATATCTGTTCTTGTTCATTTGCTTTAGTAAATCAGCCCCATTCTATGATGGTAACCTTGTGAGTAAGAGGCTTATGTTTTGTGGAGCTGAATACAAGGTTCAACTGCCTGATAAAGGAGACTTGACTGTATATTAAATTGCCAGGCAGGACAGGATTTATGTTGTGCTTTTTTTCCTGTAGATATGCTGCTTAAATTGGTTTGAATTATATTCAATAAAGCTTTTGTGTCAAGTACAGTATAAAACTCGAACTAGATTGGGCAGTCTCTGCCTATACAAAAAAAAAAAAGGTCTGAGGCTATCTAGCCCAAGTGACTGTGGAAGCAGGGCAGCTACATATACATGGAAATGGCAACATAAAGACAACAAACGAACAGACTTTTGGAGAAGGATCACGCTCAAATTTAAATTAGTATTCCACTAGTCTTAAAATTGTCCCCTCCTCCCAGTAGTGTAGTGTGGGTTGTCAGTGCCTGGGGAAAGCACCCCTTAACACATGGACTTTTAGCACTCCCTCTATCCCTATATCTCTTTCTTTTTTATTCCATTACTTCTCACCACTTTTGTCTCTCTCTCTCCCTCCCTACCATTTATTCTCTCTTTTCGCCCTTTTCTCTCTGCTTCTTTCCTTCTCCTCACTCTTTCTCTTTTTGTCCCTTTTTTTTTTTCTTTCCCTTTCTCTTCTGTTTCCCTTTCTCTATCACCCTCTTGTTCTATTTCTCTTTCTTTCTCTTTTTTTTTCTTTGTTTCTCTCTTCTTCCTCCTCTTTCTTATGTATTCTATCTTTTTTTTCTAACACACTTTATTCCTCTTTTTTTCTCTCCCTCTCTCCTTTTTCTCTCTGTTCTCATTTTTTTCCCTTTTATCTCTCTCTCTTGGCCATTAACTTCCATCCCCAATACAGCATCCTCCTCCTGTACTGGTCCAGGACTGGTGGCCGTGTTATACCTCTGCTGTGACAGATGAGGAAGTGTGTGTGTGTGTGCACAGTGTATGTATGTATGTGTGTGTGTATCATGTGTGTGGTGTACAGAGTGTGTGTGCACATTGTGTATGTGTACAGTGTGTGTATCAGGTGTGTGCACGCAGTGTGTGTGTACCATGCATGTATCATGTGTGTGTTTGCACAGTGTATGTATGTATGTGTGTGTATCATGTGTGTGGTGTACAGTGTGTGCGCGCACATTGTGTATGTGTACAGTGTGTGTATCAGGTGTGCGCGCGCAGTGTGTGTGTACAATGCATGTATCATGTGTGTGTTTGCACAGTGTGTGTGTGTGTGTGCGTACAGCATTATTGTTAAAAGGGGCATTTTTAAGACTGGTTAGGTTGAGGCTGGAATCTCCTTTAAGTTTATCATACTTCAGGTTGCCAGCTTATCCTACTGATTATTAATCAGGACAGAAAGTGATGGGAAATGTCAAACTTTATGCAGTTTTCAATGGAACAAGAATAGAAATCTTACAATGAATACACGTTTTCTGGTGAAAACAATCACATTTCCTCTCATTTTTTATCATGTGTCCATGGCAGGAAGTTTCCCTAACAGGACACAGACAGCAAAAAAGGACAAGGATTGCAAACCTTCCCTACTCTTTCCAAAATTGAAAAAAGTTGTCTATATTTACAGTTGTAACACCCTCCAGGTTAGCTAGATAGGATGTTTGTTTTTTTCTTTTTAGGCAGAGTAGCAGCCTGGGATGAGTCAGCCTGTGAGTGAGGCAGGAGTTCACCTCAAGACAGGCTAGGGAGGCTCTGAAGGTCAGAGCTTCTGGAGTCCTCCCACCTCTCCAGAAACCTGAGCACTTTCTGGAGGAGGGACAGATGAGAGGAGGAGCCTCAGCATGCTTGAGGGACCTTGGCCAATCCACTGGCAGGAGGCTGGGCATGGTAACCAAGACAACCCTTAAGTATCACAGAGCCTGGGAGCAGTCAATGAGTGTTGGGTGGAAGATGGAGTGAGGAGCTGGAGTTTGGAGCCTGGGAGGGGGCCCAGGGAGGGTATCCCACCTGCAGGCAGGATTCTGGAAGGGAGGAGCTTCTCTGTCCCATCGTCTCCTTGGGAGGACGGCCTGTGAAGCAGGGAAGGAGCCATCCCAGCATAAAGTCTGAAGGCAGCCACCAACCCACCAAGCAAACAAGAAAAAACAGAGTGAGTACTCCTACACTTCCTGGGCCAGATAAGGGGAGAGGGCAGTCAGGTGAAATACCCTGCTAGTCTTCATCTGGGAGTGTTCTCAATCTACAGTTCTTGGGTCCCCTTGCCCAGGGAATACCCACAGAAGGTGAAGAGGAGGATTCATCTGGGGTCTGAAGAGGTACACCAAAGAGCTTTGGATGCTCTTAGAGGAGAGACTATTTTTGTCCACCTTTTTGTACATAGTTGCTCTAAGTTGTCCTATAGTTTACAGTTTCCCTAGGCATCCCATATACCTCTATTCCCTATCAAGTTGTTAACCCCTTAATAAAACAACAAAACCAAGCTCAAGGACTGTTTACTGACTCCAGTGTGCAAAGTGTAGAAGAAAATGTGTGTTGCCTGGCTGTGCAGAGCTTTAGGCGGACCCAGTGACTCCTAAGGGGGTAGTGCTACACAGTATGTGTATAGGCAAAGTTAAATCCCCAATTAATTTCTTCCAACCGTTCACCATTTTTTCTTCAAAATTAAACATAAAAACCCTTTTTTAGTTACCTCAGTCCACCTTCATGTGACCCTCCTTAGTACTACTTTGGGAAGTGAAGTCAGGAGACCCAGCAATGCAGTCCATGCCTGCCATTGACCTGCTTGTTGCTGACCCTATTCAGAATGCCACTGCATTCTTCTAGAGCTTGTAAGGACACACTCCACCTTCTTCATTCTGCCCATAACAAAATAAAATGCTTGGACTGCCTGTGACGGACTGCCTGACACACCAACTGGGTATCTCCGCCAGAGTACTGCCTTCTCGCCGCTGGAATACAGGAAAAAGGGATTAAAGCTGGGAATTGCATCCAAGAACTAGACGACACTAGCTTAGGTGCAAACAGGAACTGTTTTATTGAAAATTCGCACAGAATTTATACCATACAGAATCAGATAAGAGCTTGATCACATGATCCTAAACAATTCAAACTTTAAACAATAATATCATCAGTAAATCTAACAGTACATCTAACAAACAGCTAGCAGCTAACAGTAACCTAATTAAACAGTGATCTAATAAACAGTATGCGAAACAACATCAAGGCACCCAGACCAACTTTACTTAGCCAGGGAGCCCACCCCTGACAGTTGGCAACAAGTCCATAACCCTGGATACACAAAGTACATTACATGCTGTCTTTTAGGTGTTTGGCTTTCACTTGCGTAATCTGTTCACTAGAAAAGTCATCATAAGACAAAACTCATAGAATGTTCCAGCAATCAGAAAAAGTGGAATTCATTTATCTTCATAGATTTCTTGAGGGAGATTGTTGATAAATATTTCTGTCCCAAGTGGAGGAGTTTCTCCAGCCCAGTCTGTAGGAGGGCCACCATATTTCCTCTGACATTAACCTCCCTAGCGGTATTCCCGTGTGTAGCTCGGGGTAAAATGTCAGTGCCAAAAGCGGTAACCCCAAGCTACACTCGGGCAAACCATGCGGCTCTGCATAGGGAGTCCCTGCAGCACTTACCTTGTCCTTCGCTCCCGCGATGTGTCCCCTGCAGCGTCCCCGGCCATCTCCTCCGGCTTCTGTGTTCTGGTCCCTGTGACGTCGGGGCGTACGGGTGCCGCTGGCGGCGGGAAATTTGAAAATTTAAGAAAAATTTCATTTTTTTCAAAACGAATTTTACATAGTAAAACATTGCTGTTTCAACCCATTTCACATACATTTTGTCCCTAGTTCTTTGTCCTGTGCCGTGCCTGCATTTTGTCTGTTCTTTCTGCCTGGAAACTTAGAAAAGTCCATGGCGTCCAAAAAGCGTTCCTTTAGGTCAAAAGCGGGTTTAGATCAGCTAGAGAACAGTGATAGTAAATCAGAACCACTTGCAGAATTCAGTGATAATGATTCGTGGAGAAATTCGTCATCAGACACTGAAAACGATTTTGCGACTTTGCTCAGTGACGTGCGAACTTGGCACTATATTTCAAATTTCAGTGTTTTTGGTTTGATTATATTATTGAATTAAATGTATTATTATTATATTATTATTTTTTATGATTATTTATTAAATTATAATTTATGATTTTGTGTTTCAAATTTTATCATACCCGGGATGTTTAATAGACTCTTGTTCGGACAGATTTCAGTGAGTTATTCCTAAGAATTACAGGCTACAATAAAAAAACTACATATTTCCATGCAAAATAATGGTACCGCTTTCAGCACCAAAAATCTGAAATAATCAGACCGCCAGGGAGGTTAAAGGATAAGTTCACCTTTTTGAGCAAAATTTCACTTTTCATAATAAATAGAAGCATTTTCCAATGCCATTTCTGCCCAGCCATCCCAATGTGCTTTTCTCTCACTTACCTCATCCACAGGACATTTCATTTTTTTCTGTCAGTTTCTGTGAGATTTTGAACAGCTTTTTAGATTGCATTATTTCCTGTCAATGGTCTCTCAGCATTCTCTTCCTGTAGGCCACTTCCCAGAAGCCTTCCTTGTTGCATTACAGAATTGGGTTTGATAGGGTGTATTCACCACACCTCCCTCATTACAATACTACCTTCCTCCCATCCGCTATATAGTACAAGGGTCTGTCTGATTTGATACAAATTGAACAGATTGTTCAGGTGTGTCCTCCTATTCCATAGTTCTGGTAAATCTAAAGGAAATTGTACAGAGATTGCATAGTGTATGGCCATCTTTATAGGTGTGGACGGAGACACTCTGTTGTCAGGTCCTGTTCACATCTCCATGTAGTGAAGGCTCATATTCCTGCATGCATTTGTTATGGAGCATTTTCACTCACCTCGCATATGGCAGCCCATTCAAGGGTTGCCATGCACGCAACAATCTCCCCTGAAAAGCTTCAAAACTTTTTTTTTGGAGCGTAACACAGTGCGTTACCGCGGTTTTTGGTATGTTTGCCACACTTGGGGTGCCTTTAACACGTAATGACAACACAAACATGATGCACATTTGCAGCGTGTTTCTGAAACACATGGCAAAGAGTGTAATTTCTAAGCAGATTGCCATGCTTTCAGAAACACACAGAATGGAGCCTCTTTGTTTTGTGTAAATGCACCAATTTCACTTTCAGGCCCCATTCACACCTAGAATAAAGGGAGTGGATGTTTTTTGGCTCATTTTTCCAGTGATACACATAGGGCAGCCCATTGCGCTACACGTGGCAAAGGCTCACGGGACATTTTGGCGTGATGCATGTTGCATATTTTTTATTGCGTGTTTTGCTGCGTTTGTCACCTGTTTTTTCATGTGGCAAAATGTGTGCTTGTTTCTTTGTTTGGTGTGCCGTTAAAAATTAATTACACTGAAAGTGCAACTAGGTAATTTTAGGTGTGTAAAGGTGGCCATAATATAGACAATCTGATTGTATAATCTGTGTACGATCTCCCTTAAGTTTACCATTATTATATAATAGAAGGACACAGCATCTATCCAATCACTCGACCTGAGCCCATATGTAGAGAAGCTGGGGTAGCCAGGCATATGCATATGGGGAGAGATCCTGGGGATGCTGTGAAAAATAGTTGATAGGTGAAGGGTGTGTACTAATGAGGTCAGTGTAGGAGATCTGCTAGTAATCTGCTTCCGGGGTCCTACTGGCTCCTCTGCCCTCTGTCTACATTCCAGGAATTGAAAAAGCTTTCTCAGAAATTTACCAAAGGCTAAGGTAAGGCCTTGCTCTCCAGATCAAAGAGAGCTTGAATATTTTTTGCAACTGAGGTACATTAATGGAATATTGGTGCATAGGGGAGCTAGATATTATAAAAAAAAAAGCCTTTAGGCTCCGTTCACACCTTTGCGTTTTTTCATGCTTTTTGCAGTAATGCACTACAGTCCATTTAACATGGTTTCCTATGGAACATGTTCACATCTATGCTTTTTTGAGCTGCTGCGTTTTTGGAAAGGGTCAGGGACTTTTTTAAAAGCAAAAAGCAGTGTTTTTGCTACAATAGAGTTCAATGGAGAATCTGCAGAAATGCATGGTAGTGTGTTTTTGCCACGATTTGCGTTTTGCATTTTTATTCTGCCCAGAAAAAAAAAATACACTTTAAAAAAAAGAGCTGAACAAAACGCCAAATGCGTCAAAATCATGGCAAAAACACATATAGAAAAACGCAAAACAAACTGCAAAAAGCACTGCAAAACAGACAAAAAGCAAACTGCATAGGTGTGAATGGAGCCTTAACCTGTACAAGATTAATATTACACCTTTCCATCCTCTCCAGAATGGATACTTTATTGTCTTTATTCAGAGAATTAATCCAAGCCTTGCTCTCAGCGTTCATCACGTTGTTCTCCATCATTACAGCATGATCTGCTCTCTCCATTGGATCAGAGGCTGAATTGAGCTCTTTTCCATGGTCTGATCGGCAGAAGCAGACAAAATCCACGGTCTCCTCCATGTGCCATAATCAGTAGGTAGAAGGCTAGCCCTTGTCCCCTCCAAAAGTCCCTGTCCTGGTTGGGTCTGACGCACTGCCCTTATAAAGGGATGAGCTGATGTCTGTAGTTAAACCTTTTTATTTTTTTTTTAGAAAATATGTATAATGTTGAGTGCTTTAATCTTTTCAAAATGTTTTTATTTTCCAAGTGAATAAATGAAACCAAAAACAAAATCAATGCTTCATCAATGTGCATAATTAAACAGAAATAAAAAAAAGTTAATCAAAATCATCCTAATGTATGTGCAGCTTTCTTCTGCAACATTTACAAGGTTGCGAAACCTTACTCATGTATATTGTGTGTGGTATTGTTGGATGTCTATGGCCCAAACAGCAAAGAACACTGAAGTTTGCAAATTGCACAAAAACAATTGCCTGCAGGTGAATGCAGTTTGAACTGTTTATATTGAACCTATTTATGTTTAGCACAAAGCAACAGGTTCAATTAATGCCCCTTTCCTCAGCAGCTTATACCTATCCTTTTTACTTCTCCATTGTGCTGTTTAGTTGCTGGGAAAATGAATGACAGTTCTGTGTAAGCTTTGAGTCACTCTAGTTAGAATTTCCACAGGTCCAAGCACATCACCCTCCCAGTGCTGTCACTTGTAGTTAATCACACTCTTCTCCATACTGGGAAGTATTGGATATTGTCCTTCCTTCTGGTTACTGAATAGAGTGGTGGGTCATTAAGGAAAGGTGAGTATGAGCTGCTGGGAACTGGGGCATTAAAGAAAAACCTGTTATTTTCCCTGCATGGGCAAAGCACAGATTTTCTTCGATGCAATCCCTAACAGAATGGTGTTTAGGTTGCTAAAGCACTGTGTATGATGAACAATTTTAATTTTTATGTATGTTTTGTAAAATACACGTTTTCACATTTTGTTTCATCCATTGTTGCATCTCAGTGCTCCTGATCTCCTGCTGCAACTTTGTTGTTGCTCCAGTTTACATGCAGTACAGTACAGTAAGGCTTCATGGCATTTCTTGAAGCAGGTTTCTCTATGATAACAATACACAGTGCCTACCTAATGTGTTAGAACAGTTTTGTGTAGTCTTCATCAGAAAAATGACAGGGTGACGTCATAGATGTACAATTAAAGGCAAGGGAAAATGGGGTTGATTTACTAAAACTGAAGAGTGCAAAATCTGGTGCAGCTGTGCATGGTAGCCGAACAGCTTTTTTTGTCAATTAAGCTTTGACAAAAAAAACTGGAAGCTGATTGATTTCTGTGCAGAACTGCACCAGATTTTGTACTCTCCAGTTTTAGTAAATCAACCCCAATGCGTTGTCACCCTATAACAGGAAGTACCTGAACAAGGACTTTTATGTCAGCATCACCACATGTTCTGTTAATGAAAGCAGATTTAAAAGTATTCAAAATGACTTTTAAAATTATAATATCATGTCAAAAGTTTATATGAAATTGTAGTTATTGGGCTTACATAGGTATAAAACACTTATTTATTTTTGCAAGTGTGTGTGCTCAGTCTTCATGTGTTTTTAGAGTCCGATTGCTGTCATCTGTAGCTTATGGTTACAGCCTGGGGCTCACATGGATTCAGATCACTCAGCTATTGCTTTTGCAATTTGGACCCATGTCTTTTTACAGTTTTCTACCAAGTAAATTATGTGAAAACACACCAACATAAAATAAAGGCATCCCAAGGTTTAAAAAACATAGTCACAAGAAGAAAAAAAGACCCTCCTGCGCTCAAAAGACTGGATCTGGCATGTGTGGAGAGATCTTCATACACCTTTCATTTAATCCAATCAAGCAATGCTGTGCAGCCCCTTATCAAGCACTACAAAATAAGAAAAAAAAAGTGTCTCACAAGCCTTGTGCATTACCTCGATACAAATTTTTATTAATAAAATATAACAGATGTATAATCACAAACGCCAAATTTACACAAGCATATCATGACCAACACTGGCCCATGGTCTGCAGTACTGCACGAGTTCCATATGCAAAAGGACACGCAAAGAATGACTGGTGCGTTTCGAGGGGGGGTCCACTCTTCTTCCTCTGAGGATCCCCCTCGAAACGCACCAGTTCTTTGAGCATCCTCTTACATGTGGGACTCACGGAGTACTGCAGACCATGGGCCAGTGTTGGTCATGATATGCTTGTGTAAATTTGGCGTTTGTGAGTATACATCTGTTATATTTTATTAATAAAACTTTCTATCAAGGTAATGCACAAGGCTTGTGAGCCCCTTTCTTTTTCTTATTTTGTAGTAAAAAAAACATAGACATGAACTTAGCTTTCATCTAAACCACCATCATTAAACTGCATGTACAGCATCTTCAGGAGATCTGGGTGACAATTCAGAATAATTCTGCTTTATTAGTTTCTGAAGGTATATTTAGGAGTCTGTACCAAAGACTCGCTCTTTCCCCTCATTGTGACTGCTCCTATGTGCTTCTCTGAAGTAGAAGGGTAGTAATTCCCTCTATGACGAAAAGGGGGGAGGACAGCTGAAAGAACTAGTTTGGCACAATGCATGACAAATGGGAGGACGTTTAAAATCTCAGTTTCAGGGGGAGCTCTGATGCATTCCTGGAGATAAAGTATTTGAAAAATTCCAGGCAACTGTTAGAACTTCTAGTCTATCTATCTATCTATCTATCTATCTATCTATCTATCTATCTTCTATAATCTAATCTTCTATCATTTAATCTATTTTATTATCTCTATTCTATCTATTTACAGTATCTATCTTAGATTGTTTTGTCTTAGCTGCTTTTCTTTCGTATATAATTAAAATGAAAATCACAAACTCGAAGCAACTCATTGAACAAACCAAAGCAACATAAAAACACCTAAAACATGTATATGACTTGCTTCTGAGTCTGATGTTCTTGTACAGTATATGAGTCCATATTCCTAAAGTAGACTATACAGTAACTTTACAAGCCTGTGTGAATGAAAGAATAAGCCTTCACCTTTTAACAAAAAAAGCTAATTTTTTGCATGTAAACAAATGTGCATTTACTATTTTTTGTTTTGGGAGCCTGTAAAGCATTGTACCAGCAATGAAAAGCATCATGCACGACTCCTGCAGACCTGTCAGTGTATCTGTCTGCTCATACCTTGTGCGGGCAAGCAGATACACAGTGACAGGAAGAATCAATGAACTACCACAGTGCTCAACAGTGCCATGGTAGTTCATTCAAAACTACAAGCCAACAGCTGGAAGGGCTGTCAGAACTTGTAGCTATTCCATTCACATAATACTGTAAATGAGTGATGCGCCCAGGCGGACGGAGCCCCGCATTGCTACTTTTTTGTAAATTGTGGCAACTAGCGGGGGGAAGAAGAACAGGGAATCAAGGGGAGTGGCGGCTGGTTCTTTGGTAACATGTTACATGCTACACCCTGGGTTTCCTAACATGTAACATGTTACAAAAGATTAACTTATTCTTTAACAATGTCATGTCATCATTTACTATTAAAAAGCCATCCTTGAGCTCCATTACAGTGATTTTGTCTAGGTTGAGATGATGTCACTGGTTTGCTGCAGGTGAAAAGAAACATGTTCTTAGTCTCCTGTTCCCCTGTGATCAGACTGCAGAAACATGTACTACAAGCAAGTCACAAGGTGAGAGGCTGTAGCAGAGGCTGATCTATGTCAGACATTTGTGAAGAGCCAAGAGCTTTGCAGGTACCAGGATTTTCATGACTGTCATCTCAGGCCAAAAAATAGATGGTGAGCCTAGATGCCCGAACAAAAATGCAGTTGTCCTTCTGGAGAGATCATGAGATGAAGCAATTGTCAAGGGGAATACTGTGATACCGGTTTGGAGTTAAATGCCTGGAAGTGTTACATTGTCATATTGCTTAGTATGCATGTATAGGAAAATCTATCTGATGCTAGATTCACTTTAGAGTAAAACCGGGTATGGAAACACAAGAACTTTTTGTATGTGTGGTTTCATGTCTGCTATGATCTCAGGCTGGAGGTTTTTCTGGAAATCCTGCATGGGTGGCAGGATTACATCTTCTGCTTCTGACTTTCGCCAAGAGATTTTCAGCTTCATCAGGAATTTACATAGTGTGATTTTCAATTAAAAACAATGAGTTCATATTTGTTTTAGGGACAACCTTCTTAGTAGCAATTAGAGATATATTCAATACACTTTTGTAATTTACTTCAGCAAGGTCCGACTTTCTGGCAGCCACTAAGACAACATTTCTCTTGTAATAGGGTAGAAAAAAATGGGCTAAAGCAAAACTTCAGGCACAACTTAAAAGGAGGTGTATTGTAACCTCTAAATTCGCTTTCTGCTTTTTCTATACTGAACTCTTCCTTGCAAAAGCTGTCCCATCAGCCTTGTCCTTTACATCATTGTGACTTCTCTGTCTGGCCATCCACTTAAGGTGAAAGTCCAACCTTTTTTTGTGTTAGTTTTGTATTATTAGGGGGAAGGGTTAAACCCCTGTAAGGTTATTACTGCTGTCCAAGGAGCCATCAGAGAAATCTACCCTCATTTACTATCCCAATGACAACAGTTTGACCAGACAGGAAGCAAGGGAAAACATGTGGTTATGTAAATACACTGATGTCAATGCTACCAGGAAAGCCTTCTGCTCCCACATGGGCAGCTCAGTGTACATTCCTAGCACACATCAGGGGAAGAATGAATGAACTCCTGTGTGCATGCGTGGGAATTAGATCATTTCCCTGCCAATCAAAACAGCTTAAGAAGCCAGGAAGAAGATGCTGGCACTGGTGAGGGAGCTTGCAGATGTCGCATCGCTGGAGGGGAGTATATATAGACTTTACTAAACTCACAACAGTAAAATCGGTCTGTAAATACGGTAAAGCATGCTTGTTATACTCACTGTGGAACCAAAGGGGTTAATCCTCTGCACTGTGTAAAA